CTTGGGGCAGTCCTCCTGCCTTAGCCTCCTGAGTGCTGGGATGACGTGTGCACCAGTGCACGGGGCTTCTGGCCCCTATTCTAAGGAGACGATATTGGCATCAGTGCAGGACTTGCGCACAGTTTGGTCAGGAGCAGGGCTGCAGGGCCCCCGCGAAGAGTGACAACAGCAGAGCCCGAGGGGTCAGGACAGGGAGAGAGCTCCAGCTGAGTGGAGCAGCAAAGGCTTCCTTGGGAGGGGTCGGGTGCGTCCCCTGCTGACACCGGGGTTGTGAGCTTCGTAGACAAGTGTTCACGGGGGGGGGGGGGGGGGGACACCCCGCGCCCTGCCCCTCCTCCCCAGGTGTTGCCGGCGTGAGCAGAGCCAGGCGCATCTGCTGCCCGCCCCGCTGGACTCCCGCCTGTGACACTGACCCTCGTTGGCCGGCTGATGGGGCGGGCCATGCACTTCTGGTGAAGGTGCCCTTCCAGCATCCCGCTGGCCCGGAGGTGCGACTGGGGACTTCCGGTCCCTGCCTCTCCTCCCTCAGGGCTTTCTCTGTGCTCTGCTTCCCCTGCCCGCCCGGTGACCTGGTGCTCAGATCTGACCGTCAGGTTTCCCCACTCACGGATGCAAGGAGGAACAGCCAGAAAGCAGTTTGTGCAACGACCCCCACATTTAAACCAGCCTTGCTAGGCGTGGTGGTGCACGCCTGTCATCTCAGCACTGGGGAGGCCAAGGCAGGAGGATCCCAAGTTCAGAGCCAGCCTGGGAAACATGCTGAGACCCTGTCTCAGGATAAAATAAAAAGGGCAGAGGATGTAGCTTGTTGGTAGAGAACTTGCCTAGCATGCACAAGACCTGCAATAGTTTGTAAACAGGCTTAAGAGCAGTGTATCCTGTTGTAGGTTTTTGCAGAAGGGAGTTCGAGGTCAGCCTGGAGTAGGTAGCTCGACCTTGTCTCAAATAGTAAAACAGAACAAGAGATCCTACTGAGTATTTTGAAAGTGCGGGCTCCTGGGAGGTACTTTGCAGTACTAGCTTAGCCAGGGCAGAGACCCGAGAGGACCACGAAGCCCCAGCCCTCCGCCATCCCTGCCTGTGGAGCCCGCTAGACTCAGTTTAGGGCCTGCAAACTGGCAAAGCTAATACCTGCTCTGGGCGGGTAATCATTTCGCCATTTAAAGTGACTGCTTTTTTTTTTTAGTGAGAGAGATTCTTTTCCCCTTTAGTTTAACTCCAGGCCTGGGCAGCCGTAGCTCAGTGGTAGAACACATTCCTGGCATGCTCCAGGCCGTGGGTTGAACCCCGGAACCCCCCAAAAACGATAAGAAAGGCTGTGTAATCTAAGTTGGGGTAAATTTTGGTAACTTCTGTTAGAAGAGGAGTCTGTTTTTTGTAACTTCTCATTGTTGAGCTACACATTTATTTTTGGAGCACAGTTTAGGAGAATTCGGTTACACATTTGCTTTTCATTGACCTGATCTTGGTCTCTGCTGAGCACTCAGAAGAAGCAGGTGCCCTTTCAGAGTCAGTGGCAGAGTTTGGGAATGAACAGCTGAACAGGCAGGGGGTGTCTGAGCGTGGCTGAGATTTCTAGTCCTTCAGAACAGGTCGGCCGGCTGTGGCATTGTAATTCAGTACCAAGGACTGTGTGAGGGTGAATGCTTTGTGGTAAGTTTACAGAACCGGGTAGGCAGAGTTGCTGTCTGATTTGGGGACAGTCCCTCCACCGGAAGTCCGGGCTGTTTGCAGGCCAGCCCCCCTCCCTTGCTCCCAGCCAAGGCTACTTCCTGTCCCGAGAGTGAGAGCCCTTGCTGGTCTCCACCGCAGCCGCTAAGGTTGCCCTGTCTCCCTTCAACGGGGACGGTGTGAGAGCCAGCAATCAACACATCTCCTCCCCTACCAGGCATATTACTGCAAAATCATGCGGGGCAGCATAAACACTTATGATCAGAGCCAGGTGTAGTAGGTACACGTCCATCATCCCACCCCTCTGGGAGGCTGAGGCAGGAGGATGCCAATTGGGTTCAAGCCCCGCCTGGACAGTTTGGTGACTTAGCGAGACCCTGCCTCAAAATAGAAACTACAAAAAAGGCCGGGGGAAATAGCTCAATGCAAAGGCCCTGGGTTCCATCCCCAGTATCAAAAGTAAATATTTTTAAAATGTACTCCTATTGGACAGATTGGGGCGAGGCGGCTGTGACAAGGGGCCTCTTCCGGGGGACTTTGGCTGGGAAAGGGCGCCTCACAGGATGAGTCTCAGTCAGCACTGAGTCTTTGCAGTTGTCCAGGACTTGGCAGAAATATTTAACAAACATCGAGAGGGCTCCTGGCAGTGACCCCACCCCTCCCTCGCAGACTAAGCGTTTGGTGCCCACACATTTTGGGGAGTTTACAGACGAGTCAAGCTCTGAGGCTGGTGGCCAGGGGGTTACGGCGTCCTGGCCCTTAATAAGCTGCGGGCGTGAGATTCCTTGGCCACCCTGGGTCCTGATACCGAAGCGGCTGGTGTTACACATTCACCTGCTGGCTCCTTCGGACGGTGACTGATTAACAGCCGGTCTGCTGAGAGCTGCACATCTGTGGCTGTTTTGTTCTACACCTCCGGTTTTTAATGTCTCTGCAGCAACCGGGTTTTATTCTGTAAGTTCTGAGCTGCCTTTGTGCCCCATGGGACTGGATCAGTGAGATTCTGTCACAACCTCGCCCCTTGGGGCTGCGCCCTGCTGGTGGGAGGTACAGTGTGTGTGGGAGCAGTTTCTTCCAACAGTGTTGTCTTCCGTCCGTCTTTCACAGAGTAAGCGCTTTTAAATGTTAGATCCCTTATGTAAACCTCGGTGAGTGCTCGTAATTGGTTTTTTCTTTATTATTTAGATCCATGGTTCTCGGTGTGGGTGGGGAGCGGTTTGTCCTCACAGGGGCCATTCACGCAAGCCCGGGGATAACGTTGAAGGTTGACACTGACAGCACTGCTGGCATCTAATAGGACGGCACCGAGGTTGTTGCTAATACTCTGCATGCGCAGCCCCACGCCAGGGAATCGACCAGAACATCTGCAGTGCCACGGCAGAGCGGCTCCACTGGTGTAAATGTGCAGCAGAGGGCGGTGACCGGATGGCAGCAGTGCCCACCGTGCTCTGCCATCGCCGAGTGCTGCGAAGTCACAGAACCTGATGGGAGGTGGAAAGGCTCTTCCTTGCTGAGCCACCTTCGCTACGCCTTGTCTCACACAGGCAGGTGACTTGTGGCTCTTGTGAGCAGACAACCTTGGGCCCTGCGACCCCAGGCTGGGGACCTGCATTGTCTCGGTGGCGCTGTGTCACCAGGTCAGCCCCAGCCTCGAGGGCGCTCAGGCGTGGTCTCCACACACGACCCCTTTCCCATTGTTTTGAAAAAATGAACTTCTGAGTGAATGATCTGCGTAGGAAATGTAGAAATGTAGAATCTCATTCATTCACCACATTGTGGTCTCAAGGTGCATCCATTCTCCTACAGATGACTCGAGTTTATCCTTGTTAATGCCAGAGTAGTGCTCCATGGTGTGTAAATACCACTTTCCTTAGCCTCTCATCTGTTGATGAACAGATAGGCCACTTCCAAGATGCAGCTGTTTGCTGCTGTAAACAGGAGTATTCATGGGTCACGCTCAGATGTCTTCAGCTCTCTGGGAAGATACTTTGATGTATCTCACTGCCGCCGCTTCCTGACTTGGAAGCACCTCTGTTTCTGGAACAAAGCATACTTAGCTGGAAGGTGCCACAGAGCGACCTCAGCCTCCCAAGCACGTATGCCCTCCGCTCTGCTTGGGGAGCTGAGGCCCAGCTCTGCGCCTGCCGGTGTGGCTGGGCACACAGCAGGCCCGTGCCTGGCAGCGGTCACCTCACACAGGCTCGAGGAGGGAGGGTGACTTTGCGGAGCAGCTCTCGGCGTCCTTCACCTGGGCGGCTGGCAGGTGAGCGCCGTCCCTCTGGTCCCCTAATGAAATCCCGGGGACCCATCAGTCCTCTGCTGATGACACCAAGTGGGCATCGCTCCCAGGGCGCGGAGTGCTGTGATTAATTACTTCAGTCACCTGCTCGGAATCCCCGGGGCTGGCTGCCTGAGTGCTTCCTCTTAATTGGATTTTCCCCTGTTCTGTGCCGTGTTCTGGAAGTGGGTGTGGACATGAGCGCTCCTCTCTCTGCACGGGAGAAACGGGGTTGTAATGCAGCTGCTTGCAGTAGGAAGCCAGACTCCCCACACAGGGAGAGCGAAGGTAACATGCACGCCTGTCATCCCAGCACTCAGGAGGCTGAGGCAGGAGGATTGTTGTGAGTTCAAGGCCAGCCTGAACTACATAGTGAGACCTCCACTTGGCCTCAGTCTGTGGTAGTGAAAAGCCCCATAACCAAGTCACCTGGACACTGTCCTTCCTCCAGGCTGCCCTCAGTCGTGTAGTGATTCTCCTGCCTCAGCCTCCTGAGTGCTGGGACTACAGGTGTGCACCACCAGCCTGGCTCCATGCTGGACTTTCTCCTCCTGCTCTAATGTGCCACAGCGGGGGCTACAAAGGCACAGGGGAGGAGGGGACTGGGAGGTCAGTTGCACCCCAGGCCCGCTCCCTGGCCTCGCTCTGCCTCCTGAGCAGGGGCAGGTGCTGTGGGACCTCAGGGTGCGCCAGGGCGAAGCCTGGTGCCTGCCGGGGCGCCCGCCCTCTTCCGGTCTCCCTGCTTGCTGCAGGGAGACCAGGCCCTGCCGGTGTCCAGGGGCTGGGGGCCTGAAGCTGCCCGTCCCCACTGCCTGTGCCGGCCTAGGGTCAGGGGACACGTGCTGACCCACACCCCGCGGGGGTGAGTGAGCCCGCTCTGGCTAGCGGCTGCTGGGGCTGCTTTCATTTTTCTGTCACTAAATAAAGGCTTGGCTGACACCACACTGTGTTTTCCCTCTGCTTATTTCTTCCTGAAATGACCCCGAGAGAGGCCTTTCATGTTCGCACTGTGCCCAGGGCGGGGACTAATTGCTGGGTTTGCACCTCCCAGGTGGCGGCTCCCAGCTGGACCAAAATACCTCGCTCCTAAATTGGGAACAGCCGGTGGCCAGTATAAGAGCCAGAGTCGGGGAGAATCACGGGCTGGAGCCTGCGCTCGCCTGCTGTCGCCTGCGGCCGTCCCCAGGTAAGTGGCCCAGGCCCCTGCAAGTGCCAGAGCCGGCACCAGAGCGCCTGCTTCCTGCATGAGGTGAGATGCACTCAGCTCTGCCGTCTTCCACGGTATTTTGAAGGCTGCTGGCCTCCCTGGGCCACCCCATGCATCTTCGAGTATAAAGGGGTAAACTGAGGCAATTTAAATACTATCTGGATCTGTTCTTAAAAGTAGTTGCCAAAGGATGTCAGGTTTTTTAATCAGGCAAATGGTGAGAGTACCAATTATTTAGTACTCACAAGCAGCTCACTGGGGGTTTTTTTTGTCTTTCTATTGGGTTTTTTTTCATCTCAGTGTGTAGTCCAGGCTGGCCTTGAATTCACTATGTACCCTGGGCTGGCCTCGAATTCATGGTAATCCTCCTGCCTCAGCCTCCCAAGTGCTGGGATCACAGGTGTGCACCACCAAACCCGGCTCACCTGGGTTTTTAACCCTTTCTTCAAGATTCTTAGAAAAGGTGGCCCCGGGAAGGAATGACAGAGCCCAGCAGGTTCCAGCTCACTATGACGTCATGCCTAGCAACAAGCAGAGTGGGTGTGGGAATGTTCTCCATGTTGGATCCTGACTTTTATTCAAGAGAGTTTAAACAGAATTGTTAAAATGTCCCTCTGTATACTGACCTCCGCTCAGAAAGAGACAAGAATTCCACAATGAAGCCACTCACTCTTTTGTAAATCAGCTGAATCTCGGCATGAGCTGCCTTGCAGAGCAAGTGGCTTTGGTGTCTGTTTCCTTACTGGAGAACGTTTTTATTCCGCGGTTGACCACTGGCCGAGTAGCGGTTGTGACCATATGTTCTCTTGTTTTCAGGTGGGATCGTTTGTCGAGGGAAGGAGGCCGGCTTGCTTCTGTGAGATCGCACTGCTCAGCGGGTAACTGGCGGGGGCAGCAGTGACCAGATGGCCCCGTGCACGCTGCACACGTGGAGACAGGACCACCTGTGAGTCCATGCCGGCCTCAGACACCCGGGACTGAACAGGGCACAGCAGCGCCGAGCGTGGACACTTGCCGTTTCCTCTCTGCATTGAAGACCAGAGGACCATGGATGTCATAGAGACGGCAAAGCTGGAAGAACATTTGGAGAACCGACCCAGCAATGCTCCGAGCACCTACCCAGGGCCCGTGGAGCCCGCTGAGGACAGCAAGGATGACACGGAGAAGCCCACGGACGCGGCGGGCGGGCTGCGGAAGGGCCGCCGGAAGTTTCCTGACTACATCCAGATTGCCATTGCCACTGAGGCCGGGAGCAGGTTCCCCCTGGAGTGGTGGAAGACCGGCGTGGCCCTGGTATACGCGCTCTTCAGCCTGGTGCTGACCACAGTCATGATCACCGTGGTGCACGAGCGGGTGCCCCCCAAGGAGCTCAGCCCCCCACTCCCAGACAAGTTCTTCGACTACATTGACCGTGTGAAATGGGCGTTTTTTGTGTCCGAAGTGAATGGGATCGTGTTGCTTGTACTGTGGATCACCCAGTGGCTGTTTCTGAGATACAAGTAAGTAGGTCTGTTAGGGTTTTTGGTTTGTTACTGGTTTTAGTTTTGTTGAGGCAGCGTCTCAAACTCGTGGTGATCCTCCTGCCTCAACCTCCTGAGTGCGAGTCTTCTCTAGACACACGCTACAGACAGCTGAGGCTGACCTTGGGGTGGCTGTGGGCCCCGCTCAGTAGATGTCGATGGGGCCGGGCTGGGCCGTGTTCCTGGGCGAGCTCAGAACTGAGGACTTGCGGGTCCTGACTCCCAGCAGCCAGGCGGGGCTGGAGGCAGGAGGGGCGAGGCCGGCCCCAGCTCTGGCCAGGTCGGGGACCTCTCCTAGCAGGGTGACCTCGGGCTCCTGTCCCAGCTCTTCCCTTCCCTGGACAGGCTCTTGGGTTTGGTTCTTTTCCTCCTGTCGGCTGCCCGGCCACCAGAGCTTGGCCTGGGTGTTGCTGTCTCAAGGAAATTTGCTTCCTGTCCCATTTCCTGTCTCCCTGAGGCCACCCTGCCCCTGAGTGGGGGCAGTGGGAGCAGCCATGCTGGGGCTTCACAGATCACGTGGTTACTTCCACTCCCTTCGAATTCTGACTCGGCCCTGCAGAGCGGCCTCTCCTGTCCCCGCAGCCACCTCCAGATGCCCGCATTCTACTGGGATTCTGGGATGAGCCCTAAAATAGGACTGTGGTCAAAATACCCCATAATGAACAGCACCCAGAACCCAGCCCTACAAAATATAATGTGTGCTAATTTGGAAAACTGAGCTTGAAAAATGTGAGATCAAACACAATCACAGGCCAGGTGTGGTGGTGCAGGCCTGTAATCCCAGCACTCGGGAGGCTGAGGCAGAAGGATCACTTGAGTTCAAGGCCACCCTGAACTGCATGAGACCTTGTCTCAAAAAACCATAATAAACAACTCAACAAACAAATACAATCACAGCATTAACGGACTTATTCTTCCTGTAGAAGAGAGAATTTCTGCTGCCCGTTTTCCAGCTTCACTCTCGCAGAGGCAGCTCTGGGTTGGAAAGCTCATCCCGCAGGCTGGGTCCCTCTGTCCACCTCTTCCACGGGGCAGGAGTGAACGCTGCCGTTGTTCAGTGTGGTGTGCTTTGTGCGAAAGTGGGCAGTGTTGGCAGTTAGCGTCTCCAGCACCTGGAATCGACAGTGAACATGAGAAGCCCCTGCTTGGGCCCAGATGTTTGTTTTCTTCTTGAATTTGCAGTGAAGTTTTCTCACATCTGTGTGAAGAGACATTCCAGGGTTTGGGAGGTCGGTGGGTCTGACCCCCGCCGGAACATTTCGGGGCCACCGCAGCCAGAGTGAGAGCTGTCTGCGTTTCCATTGCGCAGCATGGGGCACCTTATTGTGAAACAGCATCGGGCCGTAGAGCCTAGGGCCTGGCACAGTGACTCCTAGAGCCAATGGGATACAGACGCCAGGCCGCTGGGAGACCCTCGCCCTCTGTCTCCCTTCTCCTCCCCGCCTCCCTCCCTCTCTGTCTCTGTCTCTCTCTCAAAAACACTTTTCAAAGCTATGCGAAAAGAGAATCTAGAGAAGGCTGCGGGGCGCACGTCTCCCTTGAGCCCGTCTCTGTCCCTGCACTTCGAGTGGAGTCATGGCCCTCCCTGCTCCTATCTGACCTCGCCTTCAGCTCCGGGTGCGGCTCTCGGCAGCACTGCTGGGGCCTGGGTTTGAGTCACAGGTCAACAGGGAGGGAAGGACCCAGCACTGTTGATTCCCTGTACGGCAGATAGGCCAGGTGTGGTGGCACACGGCTGTGATCCCAGCACTCGGGAGGCTGAGGCAGCAGGATCGCTGTGACTCTTAAGGCCAGCCTGGGCTCCCTAGTGAATTAGAGGCCAGCCTGAACTACACACCGAGACTCTGTTTCAAAGCTTAAAAAGAAAGAAAAAGGAAAACACAGAGTCAGTGCAGCAGGCTTTGGAATAAAGACACTTTCATCTACCAGACTGGATATTTTTATTTTTATTTTTATTTTCTGGATCCCAGAAACCCTGGAATATTCTTAAAATAGCTGTTGGTGACAAAGAACTAACTATGTATTTGTATATAACTTTTTAAATTAGAAGCCCCACCAGTTACCCGAATTAGACTCTGACCCGAGTTGGAACAGAACCACAGATTTGGAGAGTGATCGAGACCCGCCCGGCCCTGCCCTTGGGTCCCCCACATGCACGGACGGAGGCTGGACTGAGGCTGGAGATTGTGTCCCCAGATCCGACCCCAGACCTCAAGGACCTCAGAAAGGGCCTGGCCTGGGTGCTGTGAGGCCCTCGCGCTGTGGGCGGAGCCTCAGGCAGGGGTCAGTGTCACCAAGCTCTTTAATTTTTTAAATTTATTTTTAATTGATGCACAAAACATACAAATCATACTTTTTTTTTTTTTGAGACAAGCTCTTGCTATGTAGCCCAGGCTGACCTCCAACTCCCTGCGACCCTCCTGCTTCAGCCTCCAAGTGTGGGGATTATAGGCGTGCCCACCCCTGGGTCCAGTCTGTTATTTTTAGGGTCCCTGTGTGTTGCATAAGGCTGCCGGGAGCTCCTGCCCACCCCTGCGGCCCTCCCTCCCGCTGTCCGGTCCCCAGCCCTGCCCCTCTGACTGCCGAGCACCTGTCACGCGTGCCCCTGCAGTGGCGGGTCGGCGGCCCCGCGTCCTCGAGGGCACCGGAGCAGCAGTGACCGTGTCCCCGCCTGTCCCCCAGGTCCATCGTGGGACGCAGATTCTTCTTCCTCCTGGGAACGCTGTACCTGTACCGCTGCGTCACCATGTACGTGACCACGCTGCCTGTGCCCGGCATGCACATTCAGTGCGCCCCCAAGGTAAGGCCCCGCGGACAGCGCCGCTCCCTGCGCCTCCCCCTGGCGGGGCGCTCAGTGACAGCCAGTTGCTTTCCTGTGACTTTTAAGATGGGGAAGAAATGAACATGTATTTCTTAAGAAATGTACATCCTTGAATATAAAACTTTGTTTTCTGTTAACTGAAGATTGCCCCTGCTTAACTCTGCTGTTTGTGGAGACAGGGTCTTGCTGTTCAGTCCAGGCTGCCTGAAGCTCATGAGATCCTCCTGCCTCAGTCTCCCGAGTGCTGGGATCATAGGTGTGCACTACCAGGCCCAGCTTTTGACTCTGCTTTTTTCCCTTCTCGCTGTTTCATTCACACATTCATTCTGCAAGTATTGAGCTCATGTCAGGCACCAAGTGGCCAGGGTCCCCCAGGAGCCAGAGTTCCCTGATTGATGAACACAGGCAGCCAGGGGCCGGGAAGAACAGCGTGTGCAGAGACCCCCCCAAAAAAGCCGGGGGTTCAAGGCGGGGAGGATCCAGAGGAATGGGATGAGAGCGCCAGGCCAAGAAAACAGCTGGGTACCCTGGGTTCAAGGGAGGCCAGGGAGGCCCCACGTGGTGGCATATGCCTGTCACCCAGGCACTCCGGAGGCTGAGGCAGGAGGGTCAAGTCCCGCGGAAAAGCCATTGAATTCCAGATGCATTTTGAAGGTGCAACCCATAGAGAGTGCTGACAAGGTGGGTGTGAGCTTAGAGGTTAAGGCGACCCCAGAATTTTAGCTCTGGGACATCTACAGAGGCCTTCAGCTGAGCTGTGGTGAGGCTGTGCCCGAAACCACCCCAGAAGGCTTCCGTTTCTCCCCGGAGTCCATTCTCGAGACCCCACGCGCCCCGGTTTATGAAAATAGAAGTGTGGGGATTGTGTGCTTTGCGGACAGGGCTGTGAGCCCAGGACCACGTTTCCCTGCGCCTGGAGCAGAAGTCTAAGGTCCTCGGAGCCGGCCGCTCCTCCTCAAATACAGGCATGGCCTGGAGCAGCTGTGATTTCCGGGAGCCTTCAAAGCGGGGCCTGTCTGTAATTAAAACCGTGTCCACTTGAAGGTAAACACTGGCCGGTTCTTAGCGAAACTAATTTAAGGCAGGGAGGAAGCACAATAAACACACGGCCGTTCCGGGCGTGTCCGGGGAGCGGCCTCGTCCAGGGCTGGCCAGGTGCGGTGAGCCCCGCCCCATCACGGACAGCAGGGGAGCTGGTCTTCCTGCGAGACCTGCGGTTTTTCCAAGCCACCCTGGTAAATGTGCAGAGGGATAACCGAGCCACAGCCCTCGGGAGCCAGACTTGGAGGGGTCCTCGCTGGCGGGCAGCTGTGGCCTGGACGGCGGTCGGGAAAGCTGCACAAACCCCTCTACGGGCCGGTCAGGCGGAGGGCGAGAGGGAGGCTCGGGGCTCCAGGGCCCCTGCCCACTGCTGTGTGCCGCAGTGGGTTGTGCCGTTCGTCCCGCAGCACGTGATGTGTCTGTGAGGCCTCCGCTCCCCAGCCTTCCCTCTGCACCTGCGCTGTGGCGTTTTCTATGCAGCACCTTGTTCTTTGCCCCTATTTGGGGTTGTTTTTGGTTTTGTTTCTTTTGGAGATAGGGTCTTGCTGTGTAGCCCGGGCTGGCCTCGGACTCGTGGTAGACCTCCTGCCTCAGCCTCCCAAGTGCTGCATTACAGGCAGGGCGTACCTTTTTGTCCACTGCCCGGAAACCCTGCCCTGGCCCATCGCAGTCCCCTCGTCCCAGCAGTGGCTTCTGGGGGCTTTTGTTCCCCTGACCGGGGCCCTCTCCCGGCCTCTGCCACAGTGCATCGGCTTCGGGAGGTATTTCCCTGATCAGAGAAACAGATTTTGAAAGCTGCCAGTGCACTCCTAATCCATCATTTTCAACCTACTTGAATTATTTAATGAGTTGCAGCCCTGCTTTCTAATTGCAGGCGTTCCGACCACACAGTGATCCAGCTGGGAATGCACTTAGGGGCCCACTTAATGCGAGGCACCCAGCGCTGTGGGGTTCGGGCAGTATGGGCTCCGGCAGAATCAAATGTGAACCGGCTCCGAGCGGCTTTTGGCGCGAGGCTGTGGTGAGGTCACTGGTTATTAATATTTCTAACGGCTTTGCCCAAGGACACAGCACCGCCGGAAGATATTATTAGCAATGCAGTGAATAATTTAAAACGTGTCAATAAACTTGCCGCTGGAGCCCGCCGAGGAGCTTCCCCTTGCCTCCGTTTTCCTTAAAGGTCCAAGGGCAGGGGCCGGGCGCCGTCGTGACCTCGTCGTGACCTCTCCGCGCCCGTGTCAGGACCGGGCCACGCTGGGTTCCCCCAGCTCGAGCCGTAACCCATCTTCCCATCTCCCATGTCGTTCAGCTGAACGGGGACTCGCAGGCCAAAATACAGCGGATCCTGCGGCTGATCTCGGGCGGCGGGCTGTCCATCACAGGTTCGCACATGCTGTGCGGGGACTTCCTCTTCAGCGGCCACACGGTGACCATGACGCTGCTTTACCTGTTCATCAAAGAGTGTGAGTCGGGCTGCGCGGTGGGCGACGGCCTGGGCCGTGAGAGAGACGGAAGTGACTGCTGCGTGTGTGCATGCGTGTGCGTGTGTGATTTCAGCTCGGCATTTGGAATCTGAGCGCTGGCCGTGGCTCCGTGCAGCCCGGACGTGAGACGTGGCCTTGCTGCTTGGTAGATCCGGGGGAGGAGAAGCCGTTTTCACTCCGGGACTGAGAAGAACAACGCAGTATTAGGCCCCTCCGAAGCGGACTCGTGCAGTCCCTGCTCAGCGACCCTGCTCGCTCCCTCTGTCCTGTGTCACCCTGATAGACCCCGGGCAGCGGCAGCGGAGTCTTCCTCCTCGAGGAGCGGAGGGCGGAGCCTCCCCATCGCCCTGTGCAGTGTGGGCTGCACTGGGTCTCAGCCCCCAGGCCCCACCGTGGGCTCGGGAGCTGTGGCAGCCCTGGTCCCTCACTGTCTGGAGCTGCGTCGGCTGGTCGCTCCCGGTGCCCAGTCCTGGGCCTGTGGGGTCGGCTGGATTCTCCCCTAGGTGTAGATGAGGCCTCCCCTCCGGCCGTAATGTGAGAGCCTGCGCTCTCCCTGTCCCCACGCGCACCTCGGTGCACGGTGGCCTCTTCCACTGCCCACCCAGCACTGCTGGGAGCCGTGCAGTGCTCCTGCGTCCAGCAGGCGCTTTCCAGGCCAGAGGGACATCTAGCTGCAGCCTCTTGTCTGATGGGAGGGTCAGAAGTGGACAGGAGAGGAGGAGGCAGTTAGAAGTCTGTGTGTCAGAGGCCAGGACTGGGGACTAAAAACCAGAGAGAGAAAACACCCAGGAAATTTAAGGCCAGTTTTTAAAAAATATCTGAAGATGGGGCCGGGGATTTGGCTCGGTGGTTTTGCCGCCTGCTGCGCAAGCGCAGGGACCCGAGTTTGATCCCTGGTACCAAAAAAAAATCTGAAGACGAAGTGCTGTTAAAAATAATACCATCTACCCTGGGTGTGGCGGTGCACACCTCATCCCAGCACTCGGGAGGCTGAGACAGGAGGATGGCATGAGCCTGAGGCCAGTCTGGGCGACACAGTGAGACCTTGTCTCAAGAAAACAAGCAAAACAAAAGGCTGCTGGCCACAGTGCCATGCCCACCTCCAAACGCATGGCCAGAAGGTAAACTGAAGACCTGGGCCCCTCCGCCCGGTTGGCTTTGTCCCCTTCTTTTCCTGGTGACAGCCTTTTCCTTTGGCGTCCTCCGTTTGTGTTTCTGGCGCGGTCTCTCATGGGCCAGTGCAGCCACGCTAATGAGCGGCCCCCCAGCCCGAGTAGCCCCGTCACCACCTGAGCAGTGCTGTCCCCGAGACCCAGCCCACTGCTCCTCCACCCTAACTGTGCCTTCCCCGTCCAGACTCCCCGCGCCACTTCTGGTGGTATCACCTGGTCTGCTGGCTGCTGAGCGCTGCCGGCATCCTCTGCATCCTCGTGGCGCACGAGCACTACACGGTGGACGTGATCGTTGCCTATTACATCACCACGAGGCTGTTCTGGTGGTACCACTCCATGGCCAACGAGAAGGTAAGAGCGGGCTGGTGGCTCCCTCCCGGGCCGGGACCCTGTCCACGTGGGCTCACCTGCAGGCGCCAGGCCATCCCCAGGCTCCTGGGATGCAGGGACCAGTTGGCCCGAGTGGCAGCACAGCCCTCTGGTTTGCCCAGGGGTGGAGGGAGCCTTTGTGTCTGTAGCAGCTTGGGGTGCCTCGTGGTCAGCCCCGCCCCATCCGCTGCAGACAGATTCATTGGAGGACAGGCGGCAGCGGCTTTTGAAAATGAGGCACAACAGGCATCGAGGCAGATGTGCACACCTTCAGTGCCGGGGCTCCCTCTCCACACCCTGCTTTCTGTTTTCCCTGCTCCTCCAGGGCCCTTTTGCCTTCTGTTCTGTCTTCAGAGCTTTCTCAAAGCTGCCACTTCTGGGGGCCTCCCCACCCCTCCCTCCCTGCTGCCCGGGCTTGCCTGCGGCTGCACTGGGGACCCATCTTCCTCTGGTCTTCGCCTCCCGCCTGTCCCTACGGCGTCCGTCTGCATGTCTTCCGGCCCTGCTGCACCGAGCTTCCCGTTGCTCCTCAGTGCTTGGCCCCCAGCTCCCCTCCCCTTGCTCCTGCATTGCCCACAGCTGTCCTGGCTCCACCTGTCCTGGACACCGCCTGCCCCTATGCACCCGAGACCCCTCCCGAAGGGCAGGCTGGACAGGGGCCTGGGCGTCAGGGGCCGGGGTGCCCACAGTTACTGCCATGGCCCAGAGTCTGTGAAGTTACACGAACGACCATTTAATTAAGAAAAGCCTGATGGGCCAGGGATTTAGCTCAGTGGTTCCGCTGCCTGCCTCGCAAGCACAAGGTCCAGAGTTCAATCCCCGGTACCAAAAAGAAAAGCCTGAGGCTGGGCGTGGTGACGCATGCCTGTGTCCCCAGCAGCAGGAGGCTGAGGCAGGAGGATTGCTGTGAGTCTGAGGCCAGCCTGGGGTACATAGTGAGACCTTGTCTCAGAAAAGCCAAAAGAGAAAAGCCTGAGCAAGAGTCACCAAGATGTCTCCTCCTTTGCTCGCTCCCTCTGCAGAACCTGAAGGTCTCCTCACACACGAACTTCCTGTCCCGAGCCTGGTGGTTTCCTGTCTTCCATTTCTTTGAGAAGAACATCCAGGGCTCAGTCCCTTGCGCTTTCTCCTGGCCGCTGTCCTGGCCTCCCGGCTGCTTCAAGTCGTCGTGCAAAAAGTACTCCCGGGTGCAGAAGTCGGGCGAGGACAGTGAGAAGTCCACCTGAGCCACGGCCGTGCTCCACGCTGCAGCCAAAGACAGCTCCGTCCTTATGCTGGAGAACTGACTGGAGGCGGAGAAGCCGTCCACACTGCAGGCTCGGGGGGAGATGAGGGCGTATTGATTACCTCGAGAGGTCTCTGTCCCTCCTGAGGCCTGCCTCACTGGTGATGGGACCTCAGCGGGCTGTACGGTGAGCTTGTTAAAGAGGTGCCAAAGACCCCAGACTCCTCTTTCTTCCCTGTCACTGAGCCCCACCTCTGCACTCCTTCAGGGCGTCCTCCTCCCGGGGTCAGCGGGATTTGTTCATGTTTTGAATAAAAGATCCGGGTCTATGCAGCCACCGGGCACAGGGAATCCCCCTGAGGAGAGGGGTCCTGGCCGGGACTGGGAGCTGAGTCCAAGTGCACTTTCTTTCCAACCTGGCGCGGGGAGGAAGGTCGCAGTGGGTCCCCCCGGTGCCCTCGCTGCCACTTTGACTCTTTTCTGTTTTTTATTTCTTTCAAATGAATCATTTTGAAGAAAAAGATCCAAAGAAATCTGAAAGTATTTAATCTATCCATGGATTTAAATGTGCGTTCATATTTCAATTTAAAATCTTTAGGATGTCCGGGTGTGGGGGTGCATGCCTGTAATCTCAGCACTCAGGGGGCTGAGGCAGGAGGGTCACTGCAAGTTCGAGGCTAGCCTGAACGATATAGCGAGCCCCTGTCTCAAAAAACCAAAACAGAAGTAAATGAATCTGGTTCACCAGAAGTACGAGGCTGTTTCACACACACAGCTGGATGCTGCTGCCCGGGGCATTTGCCTCCGGCTGGCACAGGCGGCAGCACCTGGTGCTGAGCACTCACACCAGGGACGAGAGAGCTGGCTGACCTCGGGGTGGGATGCCTGGCTAGACCTCGGAAGGACCCGTGTGGGCTGCTTCCCTGCACACTGTTCCTCGCTGGCCACCCTGGGTGCTGCAGGCCGAGTGGAGTCGCAGGTTGAAGGTGTCCTGGCCAGTGGCTTCCCGGGCAGCCGCTGCATGGGCGCCTTTCCCGGGTGGGGAGGCCGAAAGTGGACAACTGTTCCCGAATGTCTGTCCAGAGATGCCAAACAGAAGGTGGCTTTGAGGATCTGGTCAGATAGTACTGTCAGTTTCCTGCATTACTCAGTGCGATTGAAATTTGTGGCTAATTTCTGGCTTAATGCCTTCACTCTGTGAACACTAATTTCTAGGACTTGGGAGGTGAAATTTCCCTAGATTTATCATTACAAGCCTCTCAGCCTTGATGACACAAGTTGACTTTTTTTGCTTGCAAAAGGCACTAAACAGATCTATCCAGAAGGGTCATTTTCCTTTGGTGCTAAAATTCTGTCTGTCCCAATGGCTCTTTCTCCACATAATAGAAGAATCCCTCAAGGGAGGGTGGTTGAATTCAAAGGCAGGAAGAAAAACTCTCCAATCCGTTATTTTAAACGAGAAAAGAAACCTTCACCATCTGTGGCTGACTTTGAAACCCAAGGATTTTCCAATGTTTTTAAATAAAGCACTAATCAACATGTGTCTACCCTAGCTGGTATGTTCAGGCCTAATTCTATAGAATTTCCACCTCTGTGCATTTACCCGATGTTGACTCTTGTGGTAGAACAAGATGTTCTGCTTGAAAACACTAATTTCAGATTCCTGTTGTCTGACTAAGGAAATTCATTGGACCTTGAAGCCCTGCGTCTGTAGCTCAAAACAATCCACTGGACTTCAGGGTGTCCAGGTGACCCACTTTCCTGCCATCGGGTGAGGGAAAGTGCTTAAGCTTTAAAGACCATTGTGTATTGAGGATCAGACTCCCTCCAAATGGGCAGCCTTGCACTGCAGCCAGCTCATCCAGGGACAGGTATAACCGTCTGCTCCTAAAGGGCCCGGGAACCCCGAGACCCTCCTGTGGGGCACAGCGGTCTGTGCCCCTGGTCTTGTGTCCTGGCTCTCTCTCACAGATGCTGACGAAGAGGGTGGCGGGATAATAAAAGAGGAAAATGTCCAGGTTTCAAGCAGAAGAAGAAATGAGACTCATTTACATGTAGGAGAACAAACTTGAGATTTAACCCCACGAGCCACTTTGGCATGGAAAAAACCAATTACAATGTTGCCTTTGAAGCAGTAAATTTTCATGATGCCTTTTCCTTGCCAATTAAAATACAGCTGTTACACGTGACCTATGTTTTTGTAATCTGTGCTCCTAGCGAATCCTTTGAAATGTCTGACACATAATGCTTATAAATTAAGCCACATTTTTTTCCTGAACTCTTCCCAGTAGAAATAAGTGCTCTCAGATTCAATTATATTTTAGCTCCTTCATGAGATTTAAGAAGAAAGTGTTCTTCTGCCAGTCCCGCCTGAATTCAATGTGAATTTATGGTTTAATTTAGGGCGTCTTGGGAAACAGCCGTTGCTATGGAAGGGAGCTTGGCGCTCCGGTTCTTGGGCGTGTTCTCAGAGCCCCCTTGTGGCAGGATGTCACGCAGCTTGGGACACAAATGCCACTTCGTAAAATACGTGTTCAGGTTTCAAAAAGGCATTTGTGTTTCTTTCCCTTTGTGTATTCGCTTGATTTGCCTGTGATCCTGGGGAAGGAATTATTTTAAAGACATTTTAAACCCTTCTCAAAGGGGAAATGTTCTCGGATGGTAGTGACTTGTGATTCTGGCCTTTTATCCGTTCGATGAAGGAAAACGTGCCTACCGTGGTTACCTCTCAGGGTCTCAATAATTGATGCCTCCTTATGCCCACCGACACCTGTTTGCTGGGAATCCCTGCCAGCTGTCTTTCTTACTGTTTTTTTTTTTAATTTACATGCTAGACGTCATAGACTTTGTTTTTAAACCGAAAATTCACATCTTGTTCCTTGAATATGTTGAACATTTCTTTTTTCTTTTGGCATAATTTTTGTTTTGTACTGTAAACTGATTAAAGATTTGAAGCTGGTCTTAACACCCTCACTTCTATAGTGTAAAAGAGGTGTGAGGAGGAATTTCTTAATGAGTTTACATGTTTAAATCAAGCAGATTATAATTTATATGCCACATATTCTGTTTGTATAAAGAGCTGCTGGTATTTTTGCTTTTAATGTCATTATGTTGCAATAATTTAACTCCTTTGACTCCACTGGTAAAAATATTTCCTTTATTATGAAGTGCTCTTGTCTTCAATATCCAGACACTGAAAATCGTGTCAAATGTACCCAAAGAGGAGTTTTTATACAGGTAGACACCTTATAAGTCCAGGTTTGTTTTATTATTCATTAATCTAACTTTGTGTCCTAAGTGAATCATTAAGGAGAAGAGCACTTTACTATGGAATTATTTTTAATTGCCCTTTAGAAGAAGCTGTACACATAAGCCAGTCTTGCTTCCAAGTTGGAACTCACTATGTAATTTACCTCCTCTGCGATAATGGATCCAGAACATACGGCTGGGGTACAGCATATTCACAAAAGAAATATTGTCACAAAGTTAGCGGGCCGGGGGGCAATTACTTTGTTTTGGAAACTTACTGTACTGTTTCAATGTGTTAAGTGCCTTGTTATGAAGTAAAATTTTAAGTTTAGGATTCATTATTTTCCTGACATATATTTTCATTAAGATATGTGCTGTATGTTATTGTAATAGTTTTATTAAATGCTTACCTTTTAACCAAATATGTACATTTCCGAAACTCCTTTCCTCCTGCCCACAGCACCTTGCATTCAGGTTATTGTTGTTAAAGGAAATTACCCTTGTTTAGCACTATAGTGTCCTTGCTTGTGCTTTTGCTTCTGGGAAGACATTTCAGGAGGAAACTAGGGGTCTAACTAGTTTATACTTTTGCAGTGCTGTCTTACATTTACATTTTAAGTGCCTAAATGTTAAAACTAATTTACATTTCTATTTGAAAGAGGATATGTGTACTTGGTTTTTAATCTTTTTCGTTTTGCTTTTAAAAAAAACCAAACCTGCAAGAGCCTATACTTTGTATTTACCAATAAACCACAGTGACACTAACAGCCTTTTCAAAACTGGTAGTACTGTTTCTTTTATTTTTCAAAAGGTGGTCTTAAATTTATTTAGTTTCAGAGTACTTGTTAAAACCACAAGTTATGTTCTTCAAGCACTTTTTTTCTGAGACAGGGCTTTGCTGTGTGCCCCAGGCTGGCCTTGAACTTGACAGGATCCTCCTGCCTCAGCCTCCTGAGTGCTGGGATGACAAGTGTGCACCACTGCGCCCGGCGCATCAGTATTTTTTTAAAATAAGCTAGATAACCTTTAACTCATGGAACTGTAAGTCAACTGGAATGGATTATTTTTTTCCTGCCCTTGTATTTAAGGTGAAAAATTATTTTGAAACTATAGAAGATGGTTTGTGGAAAAAATTCATTACGCTACAATTGTGGGTCTCCTTGGTCACAAGGGGACAAAGCCCCAGTTCTTAAAGGAGAGCTGGGTACCTGTCACTCAGTTTAGAGAAACCTGGCTCCTTTGCAGAGGCCCTGGGGCGCCGTCCTCAGCTGCTCTGGCCCGGGCTGAGTGACTCTAGACCTCCTGACAGGTGAGATCCTGGCCCTGAGAGGGACTCAGCAGACGTGGCCCAGGGGGCGGGGCTCCTGGGGCTTCTGAGACGCCCTGGGTCTGCACTGGTTGCCGGGAAACAGCAAAGATGGGGGAGTTCTGCAGCTGCCTCTGCCAGGGGTGGGGACAGCACGTTCGCCCCAGAGGTGGCCGTGGCCCTGGCCACACGGTGAGCTACTGGCTTGGCCTTGGGCTGCTCAGGCGGAATCCACTATACAAGAAACGTCCGCGTTCGGGACGGACAGGCGGATTCCGAGGCTGAGCTCCCGGGCCGCCTCGGAGACAGTGGGAGACGCCTGGGCAGCCCTGCAAGTGCCCGTGAGGACTAAGACGCTCATTCTCTTTCTGAAGCCAACTCCAGGAAGGAATGAACAGGCAACCTCACACAACGAAAGCCGTGCTCCAAAACGTAGATTGTGGACAAGATTCTGAGGGACTAGAAACCACTTTAAAATGAAAATAAGAGCCAGGGGTGGTGGTGCACACCTGTCATTCCAGCTCTCGGGAGGCTGAGGCAGGAGGATTGCCGTAAGTTCAAGGCCAGCCTGGAATACAGAGCAAGACCCTATCTCAAAAAAAACAAAACAAAATGAGAGAAAAGATTGATGCGCAAAAGCAGAAACAGGTGTTAACAGTTGTTCCGCTACACGAAAGAAGAAACCAAACACGCTGCCGGAGCTGCTTACATGAAACTGCCCAGCGGGTGCAGCTCAGCGGTAGATGCCCGCCTGGCATGCATGAGTTGCTAGGTTCCATCCCGAGAAATACAGAAACAATTCTGCCCAAACTGAAAAAGATAAACAAATACGGAAATGAGAACACATTCTTAGTCAGTGGGTCAAAGAAATCACAAAGGAAACTTGAAAATAACTTTGGGACAAATACAATAAAACACAGCGTCCTAAACCCATGGGGGATGGTGAGAACATCAGAGTGAAATTCGCAGCTGCAAACACGGACACTTAAATAAGACGTCAAGTCAGTGGCCTGCCTGTTGTTCTTAAGGACTGTTGTCCTTCATCTGAAAAAGATCAAACAAAGCCCAAAGCCAGCAGAACGAGGAAACAATATAAACTACCACAGAGCAATGATAGATGAAATAGAGGATCGAAAAAAAGCAGTGAAGTTTCACATTGGCTCCTTGAGAAGAGGGACAGAATTGTGACTAAGAAATAAAGAATGCTGCAGTTGCTGACACCTGGAGTCAAGTGCGTGCATTGCACCGCTGTGCAGAGGTGAGGGCTGGCGCATGGCCCTGGGTTCAAGCTCCAGCTCCTTGTAATAGTAAATACAACAAACAGAAAGGATTACAAGAGAACAATGAACAACCACGCACAAACTGGATAACCTAGATGAAATGGACAAAGTCACAGAAACATGAAACCTGCCAATACCAAACCATAAACAGAAAATATCTCTACTAAGAGTTTGAATCAATAATGAAAAACTTCCCAGGAGAGAAAACACCAGATGGTGACCTTGTTGGTGAATTCTGCTAAACATTTAAAGGAGGATTAATACCGGTCTTCAAACTTTTCCAGCAAACCGAAGAGGAGGGACCCTGTCTACCTCATGCTCTGGGCCCAGAATTACCCTGTACCAAGGCCAGAGGCAGAGGGTGCAAAAACATTTAAGACTGAACTCCCTTCTGAATATTAATCCAAAACAGTCAACAAAATCCTAAGAAACTGAACTCAGTATTTATTTTATTTTATTTTTTTCCTTAAGTTCTTTTATTGGTGCATTTTAGGTATACAGTACGTTTACATTTATCATTGGGTGTTTGTACCTGTACACGATATAACTTGGTTCTTTTTTCCCCATTCCCTGTGTGCCCTTCACCGCTTCCACCCTTCCCTGTTTACATAGACTTCCTTTCCATTTTTTTTCTTTTCTCATAATTTTTCCTTTCCTTTCTTTCCTTTCCCCTTCCCCTCCCACTTTCCCTACCCCTTTTTTACTTAGACATGTCCAATGAGCTTGCATGTGGTCTATTTTGGAGAACGATCCATATGCAGCCAAAAAGAATGTGTATTCTGATTTTGTGGGGGTGGAACGCTCTGTAAACATCTGTTAAGTCTATTTGTTCAATAGCTCGTGAACTCATTGTTTATTGAAAGGAGTTTACATTGTGACACTGTGGTGGGCTTTCCTGGAATGCAGGGATAGTTCAACATCTGATGTAGCATAGGGCCTTAAAACAAAGCCGGGAAGAAGGGAAAGAACCACTCAGTCCCTGCGCATGACACATGTGTCAGTGCCTACTAGAGAAGCAGATGTGATACAAAATATGCAAATAGATAAGACTTGCGGCTTGGCTTCTGTCGGGTGGGGATGAGTGCGAAAGGTCCGTCTGTACCCCGGGGTCCCAAGGACCCAGCCACAGCCCAGGAACTCCATGTGGTGTCCCATGCAGTCCAAATCAGGAGCCGGAAGGTCCGCTGGAAGCTGGGAGATGGCCTCCAAGGGGAAAGCGAAGCCTGGAGGACACACAAGCCTCCCTCCCTCCCTCCTTCATGTCCTGGGGTAGCATTACAGCCACAGTCCTCCCTAGCTGGGTCTTCACAGCAGAGCCACGCTGAGCCAGTCCAGCTGGGTGTTACTACTCAAGCTGACACCCACTCACTGTCCACGCCTGGTCACCTCAACACCCAGAGGCGTTCCTTTACACCGCAGTCTGTAGGTATAAAGACGAGGCACGACTCTGCCTACCATGTTACTGCCCTCCATACAAATGCAAGTGCCCTAATTCCCTCCCCAGAAGAGAAGGCAAGCTTTCTTTGGGTGATGCTTATCCCTAACATTTCATAACTTAAGTACTATGACACAGATTTAACAACACGCAAGTGCAGGTATTAAGTCTCAGCCTTATATTGCATTGAAATCATAGGAGAGAACTTGCACAGTTACAGGCCTTGTTTCTGTAGCTGATCACAGGGTTGTAGCTGGTATTTAAAAGTACCTTCTACTCCCCATCCTGTACTCCCTGCCCTTCAGCAGCTCGGCAGGTCTTGACTTTTCCTGGTGGGGTGACCTACACCTTCATTCCTGAAGGGTCTGGCCCATTTGTCCTCCTTCCTGGATTGGGTTGTTGTAGATTCCTTTTGACTTTCCCCTTTCTCCTTTCCTTTCATTTTTCATAGCGGGGATTGAACTCAGGACCTTGCACTTGGGAGGCAGGCACAGTGCCACTGAGCTAAATCCCGGCCCTCCCACTGACTTTAATAACATGGGTTGGTACCACTAGGAGGCGTCCTAAGGGATCTCCTGCACTCCAAGTGTATTCTTGTCTCCCCCGTTGGGCAGTAACTGTCCAGTTTCCCCTTGATGTCTGTCTGGGACAGTCACGCCTGCCAATACTCTCATTCCCTTTTAGCTTCTTTCCTCAGAGGCCTGAGGAGACCAAATGACCAGGGGAGCCTTAGCTTCCAGTTCAATGGAATCATTGTTGTGCTTCCAGGTACAAGCCTTCCCCACCGAACTAAGGCTTCTAAGCCAGCAGAACATAAGGTCATGGGAACAGGAAGCAAAACTTTTTTTTTTGGTACCAGGGATCAAACTCAGGTCCTTGCACTTGCAGTGCAGGCGTCGAAACCACTGAGCTAAATCCCCGGCCCAGGAAGCAAAACTTTTGCTAGTGGATCGCTGGGCTGACAGTGAGTGGTACCATTCCCACTTCCACCCCTTGATTCCTGGAATGGGAATCCTGGGTATGGGAGACCCAGTACCATGCAGTGAATGCCGATTCAAAGCATACACAGTCTTTGGAAGAACCCTCCCCCAGCCCTGCAAGCTACTGCCACCTAGCTGGAGCTGTAACTGCATCTTCAAAAGACCAATTCTACCTTTCTATCAATCCAGGCACTTCTGGATGCTGAGGAACATGGTAAGACCAGTGAATTCCATGAGCAGGAGCCCATTGCCTCACCTCTTTGCTGTAAAATGTGCTCCTTGGTCAGAGGCAAAGTTGTGAGGAATTCCATGATGGTGGATGAAGCATTCTGTGAGTCCACGGATGGTCGTTTTGGCAGAAGCATTACCTGCAGGGAGGCAAATCCATATTTAGAATATGTGTCTGTGCCAGTGAGGACAGAGCACACTCCCTTCCATGGTGGAAGTGGCCCAATGTAATCAACCTGCCACCAGGTCACAGGCTGATCACCGGGGAGAGGTGCCATACAGGAACTCGGTGTGGGTTGCTGCTGCTGGTGTGTTGGGCATTCAGCAACGGCTGTGGCCAGCTCAGCCTCGGTAAGCCGAGTCCGTGTTGCGGAGCTCAGGCATAACCTCCAGCCCTGCCACTGCGGCCACTCTGTTCATGGGCCCACTGGGCAGTGACAGGGGTGGCTGAAGAAGGAGGTGACCGCTGTCTACAAAACGGGTCATCCTATATACTTCGTTGTCAAAGTCCTCTTCCACTGAGGTCTCTTTTTGCTGAGCGTTCACATGGGATACAAATATTTTTACATCCTTCACCCACACGGGGACGTCCATCCACATGTCTCTTCTCCAAATACTTTGTCACTTTGGCAGTTTTCCAGTCATGTTCCTCCCAAGTCCCTGACCATCCGGCCAGACCCCTGGCTATAGCCCATGAATCAGTGGACAGTCGCACATCTGCTGTTTCTCCTTCCAGGCAAAATGCACTCGCAGATGCACTGCTGGAATTCTGCCCACTGTGAGGATTTCCCCTCACTGCTACCTTCAGGGCTGTCCTGGAAGGGGCTGTGATGCTGCAGCTGTCCCCTTGCCGGCGGCGCCTGCATGGTGTGGATAGCCACCTGTAAACCAAGCCTCACCTTGTCCTCCTCGGACAGCTGGCCACGGGTCATTCTGGAAGACAGGAGCAGGAGCCTCGGGCACTGGGGCCGCTTCCTCCTGGCCCAGATGCTGTGCGAAAGTTTGGAGCTTCCTTGGAGAGTCACACACGACTGTCACCTGGCTCAGCAATGCACTCCCCATGTCCCCGGTGAGGCGAAACCCAGAGTCAGCTCCTCAGATTCCATTGTTCTCACGAAGCTGTGAGAAACCACCTTAGTGCTCATCAGCGGATGGACGGAAAGTCAAATGAAGTGTATTTCTCACACACACACACACACACACACACACACACACACACACATGTGGATGGACCTGCAGACACTGCTGAGCAGAACGAGCCAGGACGAAAGGACAAACGTCTTAGGACTCCCCTATCTGCAGTCCAGACAAGAGCCCGATTCTCAGCACAGGAGGGCTGGGCGGAGGTGACCGGGCTGGGGAGGGTTCACTTCCAGACATGGAGTCCATGGCATGGGGAACAGGCTGCGGACATAGAGGTGACAGTTATAGAATACCGTGAAGGCTCCTGGCGCCCGAGCTGTACAGGAAGTGGCTAACAGGTCAGTTTCATAGATGTCTTACCATGGTCAGAAACCCCTTTGTTTATTCCAGCAGATTTTTTTTGTTTTTGTACTGGGGATCGAACTCAGGACCTTGTGCTTTTGTGCAGGCAGTGCAACCACTGAGTTAAATCCCTGGCCCTCCAGCAGATTTATAATAGAAAGCAGAGACAGTGTTATTTATTAATAGAGTATTTGGCTAATAAATGACTTAAATCGATCGCTTTGTTCTCTCTTTGGGTTCACCTCTGCCCCTCAGAGCAGCCACAGTAATTCCATTTAAACATCAGCCAGATAACGGTCCTGGGCCTCAGAACTGTCCCCTGCTCACTATCCTGGAGTCAGTCAGGTTTTTTTTGTTTTGGGTTTGGTACTGGGGATCGAACTCAGGACCTTGTATTTACAAGACAGACGTGGTGTCACTGAGCCAAATCCCCAGCCCTTGGCGTCAGTGAGTTTTGTTGACGCCCTGGCAGTGAGCCCTTTCAGTCTTCCTCTCCCCACAGCTGCTCACCTTTCAACACCAGCCCTGTGGCCTCCTCGTTCCTGGACACCCTTGGTGCAGGTCAGCCCCCTGGCCTTTGCACAGGCCGCTTCCCCAGAAGCTCAGCCTTCCCTCCAGTGATCACCATGTGTTCAACAGAGGCCTTCACTGAAGCCCCAGGGACATGAGGAGAGCAACACCTACCGTCCCCTCTGAGCCTCATTTCCTCTGTAGTGCTGTCACCAGCAGTCACGTTCATTCTCTTTCATCTATCTTCTGCTAACAAGTTGCCATGAAGGGCAAGCATTTTCTTTTGTCTACTGCCAATGCCAAGAAGAGCCCAGCAGAGGTGGGGCTTAGTAGGTAGTTACTGAGGAGTACTGATGAATGAATCCAATCAGTGAAATACTAGACAGCTGTTAAAAGGGGCGGCCAGTTCTTCAAAGCCATTGGTAACTGAAAAGGCAGTGTGAACTAAGCGCTAAGCCATCTGAAAGGGGCTGTGACACTTGACAAGTCAGCTCTGCAGCACTAGAGAGCCAAGTGTGCATGTGCGCACGTGTGTGTGTGTGTGTGCGCGCACTCATGTGTGCACATGTCATGTAGCAACAGCCCTGGAAATGTGGACAGTACCAGCCCCACTTCTTGGCACTGACCTCGCTGGAGGAGTCGAAGGTGAATCTCCACAGCGTTGGTCCTCATAGAAAAGCCGGGGGAAAAGCCTGCTCGACACACGAGGAATATTCCTGGACAATGGCAAGGGTGGCTTACCCTTGACCCTGGGAAAGGCCAAGCAGCAACAGAATAGACTTTCTCCAACTCTGGCTCCAAAGGTGACACCTGCAGCTTGAGCCCGCCCTGTGGGGAGGAGGTTCCTGGAGGGGGCTGTGACAGACCGTGTAGCCACAAAGCCTCAGGTGTCTTCTATGTGGGCCTTTCAAGCCCCACCCCCAGACTACAATACAGCAGTCAAACATGACTGATGGCCAGGTGTGGTGGTGTCTGCCTACAATCCCAGAATTTGGGGAGGCTAAGGCAGGAGGGTTGCAAGTTCAAGCCCAGCCTGGGCCAATTAGCAACTTGGGAAAATAAAAAACAAAAAAAAGGGCTGGGGGGTGGGGTGTGACTCAGTGTGAGGGCCCTGAGTTCAGTCCTCAGTACTGAAAGAAAAATGACGGGGAGGGCTGGGGATTTAGCTCAGTGGTTCTGCTGCCTGCCTCGCAAGTGCAAGGACCCGAGTTCAATCCCCGGTACCAAAAAAGAAAAATGATGGAGAACTACATGAAACATGTTACTGATTTTTTTAGTCACCTAGGGACAAATAGAAGAATATTGTTAGTAGGAATATTTATGATGATTAAAAATATCTATATACATAAACAACTGGAAGGCTATTTATACATAACGTTATATAAATTACCTGCATGGTGAGAATGAAGAAGTGAAAATTATTTACACTTTCCAGTGTCCTGTATTTTGAATTCTACAAAACCTATGTATTGCTGTTTTAAAAATCCGAAAAAAATAGTGACTTTCCAACAGTGGCCAGTTTTCTTGGACTCTGCTCCTGCCCAAAGGAAAGGGCAGGTGGGCACTGACCTGGACTCCGGTGATGTGGGAAGCCCAGTGACCTTGCCAGGAGGAGCAGTGGCTTCTGCCAACCCGAGGGGAGCGTGTCCCGCCTGGGCTGAGTGACTGTCAGTGTGACCCGAGGTCAGGCTCCCAGGAGAAGGCTGTCAGAGCTCAGGCTCCCAGGGCTCTCTGTTCCGCTCCCAAGTTACAGCAGGGGAGGGAGGCCCACAGTGCACACAGGGCCCCGTGAGGCCTCCACGGTGTCTGCAGAGTGAGCAGAGGTGAATGAGGGCAGCAGGGTGAGCAGGGCCTGGCACGTGGATTTACGGCAGGGACTCGTCTACACTGTTGCTGGCAGTGTAGACAGTACCACCCCTGTGGGGACCAGTGTGAGATTTCTCACAAAACGCACCACACGCTGTAGGGTGTAATTTTATTTCTTCTTCCCTCCAGAGCCTGTTTTTTCCCTACCCTTCTGGGTTTCCCCACCTACTTTCTGACGGAGCCCGCCATCACTTGTCGAACAGCACCTGAATGGGGGAGTGAGGATGAAGAAAAATAAAGACAAAGAGATAGAGTCGGGAGGGCTCCCAGAGACCGAGCACTCAAGTTTATTTTTCGCCTCTCTTTTATACAGCAGGTGAGTTTGGTTGTTCATCATGACCCTCATCCAGAGACACCTGCTTCCTTGTTTTCTAGTCCTTTGGGAATTCCCCACCCTCATGGGCTTCCTTGTTTCTCGGGCTTACAGAACGTTCATCACGTTCCAGGGCAATCTACTTCGGCAAGGACGCGGTTCCTCATGACATAGTCTCCTTGCTCTATACAATGGAGGGTAAGATTCAAAATGGAGCCTCTTTGGCTAACACCGCTCTCCACAACTTTTAACAAATGTAAAACTTTGCCACCACTAAAAAACAACAACAAAGTAAAACTAGAAACCCCGTCTGATCCGGCTAGTCTCCTTCTAGGAATCTTCCCGGAAGAGTTGAAGACCTCGTTTTATGGTGATCCATGCACATGGACCATGTTTATAGCTGCACAACTCATTTAATAGCTAACGCTTGGAAGCACCCTACATATCCATCAACAGATGAATGGATAAAGATGTGGTGTTTACACACAGTGGAGCACTACTCTGCCATAAAAAGGATAAACTTGAGTCATTTGTAGGAAAATGGATGCACCTTGAGACCCTAAGGTCAAATGAAATAAACCAGACACGAAAGCTTAAACAGTACACGCTTAGCCTACAGAATCAGTAACACTATGACTAGGCCAACGAAGCTAAGGGCATTTATTTTTCTACATCAGTGTTACTCTTTAACCGTGTCCCTTTTATCTGTGTGGGAAGCCATCAGTCAGCTGTGGCTGCCACACATCATGTAACACTTCACAGTGTAGCGATCGAACCTGCTCATCCTGCGGACTTCACCCGGCCTTCCTGGAGCCTGGCTTTTCTGTTTTACCAGCTGCACATCTGCCTCAGGGAGCGAGAACTTGCACGGTGGGCGGCACACGGCCCGGCCTGCCCACCGCCCTCTCTCTGCAGGAGCGGCCGCTGAGAGCCGCAGGGGCCAAGTGTGCGGACCCAGTGCTCTCTGGCCCGGCCTCTCACCCGGCTGGGGCTGCAAGGTCAACCCCGGGCGGGCGGGCCGCTTGTTCCTTCTGCGCAGACCCTTTGTCTGGGGCACTTAGCAGGTCCGTCCTGTGCGGCCGCCCAGGCCACCACCAGCTGGCACCGCACAAGAGACGCCGATCCGGGACCCTTCACTCAACAGAAGCTCTGAGACCCGGGCAGTGACCCTGACGCTACCTCGGCCCGTTCTCGGTTCTGGGCCGCCGGCTACCCCAGGTGTGGAGGCTGCGGCTCGGGCAGCCGGGGGAGCTCGCTGGTCTGTCACACGGGGGCGGAAGCCACCCCTGGCCGGGCCTGGCCTTCAGCCGCTGCCTGCGGGAGAGGCAGGCGCGGTCTGCTACCGTCACAGCTGCAGCGCGGCCGTCAGGCACCGAGCGGGTGCTCCTCCGAACCGAACCCTGGCTCGGCAGGTGTGTTTACCACCCTCTCCCGGGCCGGGCCCACACGCACCCCGTTACAGAAGGCGCTGCAAGGAGCCCGTGCGGCACCTCACACAGCGAGGGACCAGGCGTCCGGCGCCCGCCGCTGTCCCCTGGCCTGGCGCCGCCTCCCTAATCCCCGCCCCCCCTTCCCGCGGTGGCCACGCCAGCGGCACCATTGTGCTTCACAAAAAAGCATCTAAACCTCACCTGGTCCCAAAGTAACGCGCGCCTAGACGCTTCGGGGACACAGTTACCAACAACGGGGGCGGAAAGCACGGAGCCCGGCGGATTTCAACGAGAACGTGACTGCTTTAAAATCCTCTTTGGAGCTTCAGTAAACATGATCATCTTTCTTGCTGCCCATTTCCAGCCAAACAGTCTTGTAGTGTTTTCTTTCTGTACTGGAACTGATTATTATTTTATTTACTAATTTAAAATAAGGAAGATGGAGCAGAAAGTACTCCGTTTTCTGGGCAAAATGTCCTGAATGTACCTTGGGGAACCGCGGGGGGGAGCTGCGACCTTGCGTTTAAATCTGTGTCTTGGTCACTCTCTTCGCTGCTGGGAAACAACCTGACTCCCAGGGCTTACAGGAGGAGAGGGTTATTTTGGCTCACCGTGAGTTGAGGTTTCAGTCCCTAAGCCAGTGCGGCTGGCAAGGGAGGACCTGATGGAGATGGGCAGATCCTTCCAGGCCACGCCCCAGTGACCGCCTCCTATAACTGGGCTCCACCTCCAGCGTCGCATTCAGGTACAAACGCAGCCGTGGACTCATCCACGAGGAGCATCGCTCCCGCATGATCCAATCACCCCGGAAGCCCCCACTCCGAGAGCATTCCAGATGGAAACCCTAACAATGCAGCATGGACGAGGTAGCTCCCTGTAGGGCTGGGACAACCAAGAGCTACAGACTGGGTGGCTGAACCACAGGAACATGTTTCCCTACAGTCCTGGGGGCTGGATGTCAAAGATCAGGGTGCGGGCAGGGCTGGTTTCTTCCGAGGCCTCTGTCCTATTTGTCAGCGCTCTGGTCTTTCCTGTGTGTGCTGTGAGCACACCTGCCGTTTGGAACTCAGCCCCTGTGACCTCTCTTTCAAGGCCCTGTCTTCAAACACGTCAGATTCTGCAGTCCTGGGGCTTAGTCCTCCAACATGTAAACGGGGTGAGGAGACCCCGCTCGGCTCCCCAGGGGGATGACACGGATGCAGGTACAGCCTGCAGAACAAGCAGGGACTCTGGGAACTACGACACATCTCTCTGAGAGTCGCTGGGGACTTGGCGCTGAGTCTGGCAATCGATGGTCGAGTTTAGGATATATGAAGTGTGGCTAGGGGCTGAAAATACCTTACAGACACATGGCCAATGGTCTGAGAACAGAGCAGACCCGAATGGTAGCGTGTCCTGTGGGAATCACTTGTTTATGGAAAAAATAAAATAGTTTCATAGAATGAATAGAGTTTGCCATGCTCTGGCCACAGTTTTAGAGGCGGCAAAGGATAAAAAAAAATTCCCAACCTGGGCAGTTCTAGGGCCTGGCTAACCAGGAGGAGCCACAGGAGACAGAGGGAAGGGGCCAGGGGCCAGCCCGGGTGGACACAGGCAGGACTTGGCTTCTGCCGCAGTGTGCGGTTGGTACTGTGTCACAACCTCCCCATTTCAGGCTCACTTAGCGCCTGACACTGCTACTGTCACCTCTGCACTCCAGTTGTTTCTATTTGCTATGTCCCTCTCGCCCTCGGCTGGGGCTGGAGTACATGTCAGCACATGTACACCACTGGCCAAACATTTTCACTGTGGGAAACAAACATTTGGAAACCGTTATAGTGCTGGAGACGGAAAAATATGGACAATGTTTATGTAAGTTTCTTTCCTCTCCTTGGCATTCTGAAACAGCTGAGTTCTAAATACGAGCTAGAGTTGAATTTTAACATGAAATAAACATATGAAAATCTGTGGAATTAGAAATGACGATGCCAACACAGCTTAAGTGTTGAAGTATTTATCCGATAGTAGACGAATTGTGTTATGCTCTCCTTATGTCTCACAGTAAAATAAATGGTTAGATTATAAGAACAGATAATGCTTTACACGGTTTAAATGGTAACGGATACTATATTTTATTATACTTTCATAAAAAGGACTCCACAAAAAAATCAGAAGACATTTATTTTAGTTCCCATTTTTGTCCAGTTATGGGGTCGTGTTTAAGGGATCACTGTGGAAGAATAATGTGGTATTTTTAGTTTTTTCCCAAATTTTCCAACTATTGGTAAAACTGCATATTTATGAATAGGTTTGCCGAGCAGATCTTGGCTTCTCTGCCCCTGCGTTCCGAGGCCACTCGCAGAAACGAGCCGGAAGAGGCCTTTTGCCAACAAGAAGGGCACCAAGATGGAGGGGGAGGAAAGGGTGAGAACATAGTAGGATGTGCTACCTACCGGACCCAGGGCCTGCGCATCAGTAAAGATTAAAAAGAAAACAGAGCTGCGGGTAGCTCCGGGCGGGAAGCGCTGCCGCCTCAGGCGCATCCGGGCGGCTCTGGGCGGGGCGCGGGGCTGCACGGCGCGCCCTCCCCGTGCCCCACCCGTGCCCCGGACTCGGCGGCCGCGGGTCACGGGGCAGGGAGCCGGGCGCAGCCAATCCAGCCAATCGGGGGCCCCGGCCAGGCC